CCATGTTGAGATGGTAATCGTTTTGGAACTACAGATTCAGGCATTGTATCATTACGATCATCAGTACCAGAAAATCCTTTGGTTTTCCCTTCACCTGCTAATGTGTGCGCATTTCCTGTAAGTTTCATTTCATAGCATTTAGTGTCATTTGGAAATGTGAAATTACTTAGATAATAGTCAATAAAACTAAAGTTTCGGGAAAGATAGAAATACACCTTTTTAATTTTATCTTCATGCTCAAGATCCAAAGTTCTGAAAGATGTCAACCATTCAGGAAATTGTTCGTTTTCTTTTTGATTTTGTTCGTTTATCCAATTTTGATTTTCTTGAACCCATTTTTGTAATAAACTGTCTCTATCTTGTTTTGGATCACTTTTTAACTTTATTAGCCCATGTTTCACTTGTATTAAATCTAATCCTCTATATAAATAACTAAGGATTGTAAACCCAATCATAATATCAGGATGACTAAACTCCGAGTTTTCGGATGGTAAGTCTTTTCCTCTAAATGGAATAGCAATTTCTTTTCCCTTCTTTTCAGATAATCCATATTCAACTCGATAACGATAGCTCATGACATGATAGAGTAATTCATGAGATAACCAAGCTTTCACCAATAAAAAGCTATTTAGCATATCTTGATTTTTTGCTTTCAATAATTCAATGATTTTATTTTCCTTGTCAAAACTTTCGCCTTTAATAAAATCTTCATAACTCCCGTATTCCTCCCCATTATCATCAATTATATCAGTATTTTTTTCACGAAACCTTTCGAGTAATATTTTACTAAGTTCTCGACTAAGATTTAGTTTGATATTTTTTATAAAATATTCATGTTTGATAAAACGCACAAGGGGACATCCTCCTCCGATTCCAGTTACTGGTCTAAAATTTTCTTCAAAAACAACAGGATAATCATCGCTTTGTGAACTGGCTCTGAAAATCTCGCGGAATTTTTGATCACAAAAAATAAATTTGAATATTAAAAGTGGAATTTCCCAACGCATTGAACCACCATCTAAAGGTTTAGCTAACCCTAATGTATAATTCAATTCTTTTCCATGGCGCAATATTTCATCAGATTCATCAAGTATATCAAAGAATTTAAATTCATCAATAGAATAAAGTAATTCAAGTTTTTCTTTACGTTCTTTCTTAAGTTGTGTCGATTGATCTCTTAAAATGCAGAAAGCAGGATAAACGCCTTCCAAATTCTTAGGTTTAACTTTTTCATGTATTTCATTAAGAAATTTCGAGCATGGCTCGGAAGCAAGTTTTAGTATTTTATCGTTATGATCAATGTAACCCATGGATTTTAGTGTTTTTTGTAAATTTTTTTGAGACTCAGTTAACTCATTGAATGCACTAGGATTCATTCGACCATAAGAAATTTGCCGATAGTGTTCTCTCCAATCGAAAAAATCATTTGCATCTTTTGATTGCAAATATTCTAAAAACATTTCTTGCTTTTTCAACTGAAAACATAAGCGTTGTTCAGGGGTGACTA